GGAGCAGCCCAGTTCCTCACCCTCCCCGCCCCGCCTGGGTGGCAAAACGCTACCGCCCCCTGGTGGGCCCCTCATTCATTTGTTCACTCATTCGTTCACCGAGCCAGGGCTGTGGTACAGAGCGCGACAGAAGCTGGGGTGCAGAGCGGAGGCTGAATATGTTGTAGACAATACTCCAAACTCACAGACTGGCATTTCCAGTGTGGCCCAGGGAACTCCAGTGAAGGCAGCAGTGAGAGGCCCTGGGAGAGGAGGAGCTCCCAGGAGGCGTCGGCGAGAGGTAAGAGCAAGTGAGAGGAGGAGGGCTCAGTAGGTGCAAAGGGCTACAGTAAAAGCGAGGTGCACCCTGGTGCAGCTTGCTGCAGAGGGGGCAGAGGTGAGCAGGGCACAAAGCCGCTAGACTATGGGTGAGGACGGGACACCTGTCACATCAGGTTATGGTGGCTTAAACAAGTTGGAGGCATTTGTTTCTCACACATAAAAGTCTAGAAGTAGGCAGTCTAAGGCTGACGTGGATCGCAGTCCAGGGATCTAGGCTCCCGTCATTACTCTGCCATTCTCAGCACATAGCTTCCATAGTTTGGCCCCAAATGGCTGTTCAAACACCGGCTACCACATCTGTATCCCAAGATGGAAAGCATTCCAGTCATTAGAAAGGAACCAAGAAGGAAGTTCCCCATAAAGATTCTTCTATTTTATTGGCTAGATCTTGATTTCCCGGCCACAAAAGCTACAGTAAGAAAAGACAGTCTGTGGTTCAGGTACCGTGCACCCTGATGAAAACAGAGTGTATTTCAAAGAAAGAAGCACAGACAGATTATTGGGGCAACTATCGGTCTCTGACACACTCAGGGGTCCCCCTTCTAGGCGTGTGTCCTAGGGTGCTCTCACTCATGTGTCATGTGGTGTATCTGCGGAGTTATTCACTGCGATACTGTCTATGACAGCTGAAGATGAAACAATCTAACTGTCCTTTGATAGGAGACAGGTTAGGCAAACTCCAGAATTTCATTGGGTGGAGAACACACAGGTGCACGGAGCTGAAATGTCATGGAAGGTCTTAAACTTTGGAAAATAAGTTTCCGGTTTCTTATAAACACATGCGTCCTAGTGGCCCAGTAACTTTCTCTCAGGTTTGTGTACAAATGAAATAAAAATGTACATCCCACAAGGACTTGTACAGACATGTTCAAAACAGTTGAGTATGTAATAGATGATACCTGATGCAGCCCAGAAGGGCCAGCTAGAGATAACAGAATTGTGTATCTGTGTGTTCAAAGCATGTACACATCAGTGAAGATACACACATGACAGTGTGGGTGAATCCCAAACACGTGGAGTGAAAGCAAGCTGGGGACTAAGATAATGTGCTGTGGTGATGCCATGTATATGGGATTCTAGAACAGGCAAAACCAACCAGTCACTGACCATAAAAGGCAGAGCAGAGGCTGCCTCTGGGGTGGGGGTGGGGGTCAGGAAGGCATGAAAGGATTTCTTGGGGAACTGGATATATTCTGAATTGTGTTTAGGGTGTTGGTTACACAGGTACTTTTCACTCTATATAATGACACCTCTGTGTTTTTTGTTTTTTTTTTAAATAAGAAGTAATGCTGGATATGGTGGCATACACCTGTAATTTCAGCTACTTGGGCGGCTGAGGCGGGAGGATTGCAAGTTTGAGGCCAGCCTAGACAATTTAGTGAGACTTGTCATAAAACGAAATGAAAAGGGCTGAGTATGTAGTTTAGTGCTGCCAGGGTTCCAATACTGACCCCTCTAAAACAAGGGGAGACACAGAACAGCAACAGCATGTGCATTAGTGCTCCTACTGTATATTTATCAAGGAAAGACACACAGGACGTGTTCTTCCATCCATTGATTCTGTCTGAAAGAGACCGGGCACAGTAAGCCCCTGTAGGAGGGGAGCTTAGGATAGGAAGAGGAAAGCTTTAGCCACATCCGGAATCTTCTGCAAAGTGAATGTACTACCCAATGGAAAGCGGATTGAAAATACAAAGATCTGTTAAAGATGCATATTTGACATATCCCTGCTTTATTAAAAAAAAAAAAAAGCACCCAAGGGCGCTTGTGGCAAGTGCTTGGCACCTCCCCCAGGACGCTCAGCACCCACCTGCAGCCGCACCCCCATGTCTCCCCTCAATACTCACTGCCTGGGGAGCTCTCACCAGTGTCCCACAGCATTAGCCCCTCTGCACTTGGAGGACACCCTCCCTTATCTGTCAGACCAACATGCTTCCAGGCACCTGTAGTGAGCGGGGCCCTGGAGTCCTGGTGACAGGTGGGAGCCATCTTTAGGGGGACCTTGCTTCTAGGTATGTCCTCTCTTCCCTCAAAGCATCCCAGTCCTCTCTTCCTAGGCCCAGCTCTGGCCAGGGGCAGAACTCTTTAGGAAATGTATTATTTTAAATTAAGTGGTGGTGGCATAGAGAATACAACCCATGAGAGGAACCAAGCAGAGCTTAGTCTCTTAGAAGAAAGAACCACACAACAGGGGGCTGAACTGTGTTCTCCAAAAAGATCTGTTCCTCCCCTAAACCTACGCCTGCACGTGTGGCCTTATCTGGAAATAGGGTCAGACAGAAGTCAGAGTGAGGACGAGGTCAAGTGAGAACGTGGAGGGCCCCAGTGTGATGACTGGTGCCCTCATAAGAGAACAACATCTGGACACAGATATTTGGAGAGACACCATGATGAACGGAGGCAGAGACCGAGGAGCTTGACCGAGGTGGCCTGCAGCCCGAGCAACCCAGGGAGGGGTCAGGAAGTGTCCTCCCTCAGTGCTGCTGTGGAGACGCCTAGATCCCAGACTTCCAGGCTGTGGCGCTGGGAAGCCTACATTTCTGTTGCCACCTAGTTTGTGCTAACTTGTTACAATCCTAGGAAACACTCACAGTAAACCAAGTAAAATCTAAAACGATCCTAGGAAATGGCGAGAGATTTGGGAAAACAAAACAAGACACTAAGTCACGGGGCAGGTGATGGAGAGCAATTGGGAGCAATGCCACCTCAGCCAGGCAGTCAGGGAAGGCCTCTTGGAGGAGGGGACCCAGACTTGGCCATGTGAGCATTGGGCAGGGGGGCTGGGGGACGAGGCTCTTGGTGGGTTTGGAAAGCACTGGATGGGGCCGCTCTGGGATGGAGGCCATTTGGCTAAGTCTTCAAGGTGGTCGCCAGGAAGGAATCAGGAAGGCTTCTGTCACTGTGGTCTCTCAACACGCTGCGTGGCTGCTGAGGGTTTTCCTTTGGCCTGGGCCGGCTGGCAGCCGATGGGAAAGGCCAGCCTTGCAGCTGACACTGTGTTCTTCTAATTGTGATTAACTCCCGGGCCTACTACAGCTTGGGCCTGAGGCTGCAGTGACAGCTGCATGGGGCAGCAGTGAGGCCAGGAAGGGGTTAATGGGCCACCCTTCCATCTGAGCTCTCAGACAATGGCAGGGGAAGGGGAGGTCCCTGGTGGGGGAGTGTGGCATCAGCTGGGGTGAGTGAATGGAGAGGACAGAGGCCCCATCCCGGGGGACAGGGCAAGAGTGCTCTTCGGAGAAAGGGTCAGAAGAACGCCCTTCCCTGCTACTATTTTTAACCACTCCACCCTCTTTCCCCTCCCCCACCGCGCCAAGCATCCCAGACCCTGCCCTCTGGGTTCAGAATGGGTCGGGGCTTCACCTCCTGGAATCCTGCAGCAGGAATTCGGAGAGCCAAAGAGCTTCAGTCCTGATATCTCTCCACTGTGGGAGAGCTCATCACCTCCCATCACTGTCAAACTTTTTTGCTTAATTATTAGCTGCGGGACCCAGAGTCACCCACCCCCACAACTTACTCCCCCCATAACAAATAGTGCATTGATTGCATTGGAAGTGAGTCTGATGCCAGTCTGCCTCGCACATTTCCAGCTCTGCTGCTCACACCTGGAGCAGCTGGGGGACATGCACCATTCTGTAGGTTCTGACAGGTGCACCGATTATGTGGTGCACCACCACAATTACTGTACAGTCTATTGCCACCCTTTCCAGGAGGCGTGACAAGTACCAAGAGCAATGGGTACCAACTTGTTCTGGCTGGAAAAGGTATCAAGCCACGAGGCAGTCAACACCCTGACAAGTTGTAGCTGGAGCATAGAGCACTGAACAAATGAGTTTGGGAACAAAATTGGTTCAAGTACAGAACTGGATGAGTTTCACAGCACCCAAGTACCCAGGTATGACTATAACCACACCCATCGACCAAAATATTTCCTCATGCCCCAAGCATGTAGCCAGCATTCTAACCCTTAGCCTTGGAATAGTGGGTTGAATCACAGCTATTCAAAGACACTGAATTTGAAACCCTGAGGCTTATAAATGTGACCTTATTTTAAAAAGGACCTTTGCAGATTACTTGTTAGGATCTCAGGACAAGGATTATCTAGGTGAGCCCGAACTGTCACACCAAGAGTCCTCATGGGAGGGGGAAGGATGATGACCACAAGCGAGAGGGAAAGACAGGGAGGGATTCTCTTCTAGAGCCTCGCAGGGAAGGAAGGATCTTGATTTCAGATTCTGGCTTCGGAGTGGTAAATGGAATCAGTGTTGCTTTTAGCTACTCAGTTTGTGGTACTTCGTTACACAGGCCTGGGTAAACTAAGGCACCTGTCAACAATGC